TGTATGCATGTATGTAGGTGTTGTGTGTGTGTGTGGGTAACTTCACGTAAAAAATGGGCACATCGATATAGAAGCATTGTCTTTAAATGCAATACACCTTGGTGAATATTTCTTCTGTGCTTCATTAAACTAACAGACGTATGTGTTTGTGTGGTATAAATTTTTTGAAGGTGTCCCAAGACAAATTTACGGAGTGATGGAAGGAGAAAGTGTGTTACCTCTTTGTGTTTGTTTGGTGCGGCTTTTTCGATAGACATGTCCTAAAGCAAGTTTATGAAGTGATGAATTGTAAAAGTGTTATAAACGCAGCTTTATAGAGTGGTGGAGGCTATGTGCTATAGTTGTATCGAGCGGCTGTCGTCTCTGTCAGTCTCAGCTACAAGACTCACTTCAAAAAGTATATCAGAGCGCTAGATGCTTCAGAGTGTAATGCTTTAGACAGTTGCGTGATATATCATTCAGGGTCGCAAACATGTAGTACAGTACATTCCCATTTGATTCGCACACGAATAGTCTGAAGCATAGAGTTTATACCTGTGCAAGCCCTTTCGCCTTGTGCACGTCTGTTCAGGGGATGTGTCATTGCTTATGTACCTGCCCTACATACCAATGCACCTGTTTCGCCCTATGTGCAGCCATGGCTAAGATTTCGAGCCGTTGTGTGCGGTCTGAATTGATCTATTTAAGTACAGACGTGTGTTACGTGTTTGGGTTGTCCACTGCAAATTGGATCCCCCATGGTACTCGGTTTTATTTTTATGTGCAGTGGCAATACCTACGTCGCATATGTGCTACGAAGTACAATCGTTTTTATAGTGGCATCTGGACAGAAGTCCAAGCTGCACTCATCCACAAGTACGCGACGTGTTGCTTAAATACTTGTCTGTGCTTCAATCGATACCCACAAAGCCGGCAGGCCTTGGGAATACAGATCTGCAACCAGTATCCTAGCTCACAGAATACCAGCGCGAACCTGCCTCACCACTCACACCAGCAACCATTCCTCTCACAAACATCAGAGGAGAAGCCTAAGAAGACTCCGTTGCTGTCGCCGCTCATGAGAGCACTTCTTCATTGGCTGCTGTTAGCTCTGCTAATGATTGGCTTGGGGTTCCTAGTGCCCGTTCAGTGGCAGGCTCGTATGCTGATCTTTGTTCTGGCTTGCGGATTGGGATACATGGTATGTGCTTAGAATGTAGTATATACAATTGACGCACTTTATATGCACGCAGTAAGGGACGTTCGAAATGTCAGGCTATGTTCAATAGTGTTTTGGCCTGTGGATTACGTATATGGTAAGTTCTTAGTCAGTGTTGAATATAAACGAGGTAGTATGTACGGGTGTGGTCGAGTATTACGCCTGGTTTTGGCTAGCCTTGGGCTTAAACGGCAGTATATTTTTAGTCCCGATTTGATGGTAGCCTTGTACGCTCACCTTAGTATATACCTTCAGACTAGAATATTGGTAAATTCTCGGCGTTTTTTTCTTCAACATAGAATGCCTTCCATAGCTATGTATTGTGTCCTCAGTATATCCCCCCCCCCCCCCCATTAATACCACAACCCGCACTTACTCAACAGCTTGTATGGGATGTGCATCCATCCCTACACACTCCTCTAATGAGTGTTACGAACGCCATCTCCGGCGTGGTCATCATCTCGGGACTGGAGCTCATCGGCGGCGCATTAGATAACACAGGATCGTGCCTTGGTTTGGCAGCTGCTATTATCGCATCTGTCAATGTCTTCGGGGGCTTTGCGGTGACGCAAAGAATGCTCAATATGTTCACCGTGAGTTAAATACGCGAATTGAGACCTATAATCGTACGAGCGCCCCAGCCATATAATATCATGTTTTATTGTGTTTATTCAATTGAGGAATATGATATCTTCTCCATTTACGAAGAATCTACTTGTATTTATACCTGTAAACCATCTTTTTGTAATTTTTATAGAGAAACTGCTACTAATACATGCGATACTCGCCCTTCGATCGCTACTTTCATGGGTCGAACGCAAACCGAAAAGGAACTTCACTTTTAATCAATAAAAACTACACCGAACCGAATTAGTATGACAGTACAAAAACATTAAAACCTTAGTTGTTAACAATATGTACTGCTAACAGAATTATCAATTACGTTAAAGATGTACGATTATAAAAGACTCGCTAATATGGTGTTTCGCAATAGAAATCGGAAACCTTTGTCTAAAACGACATCAAATCATTCATAATTTGGAGGAACCTGTCGCCAACACCGCTTATGTGAGATGGTGCAGAACTGACCGATTTTACTATCGATTGTAGATTTTTAACAGGACAGTGTAGTAGAGAGGAAAACACGGGTATTACACGTACAATAGTATCTGAATGATGGTCTGAATAATGGTTGAGAAATGACCCTATTAGTCGACCATCATGTACCGTCACAATCTCCACTACCTAGAATCTAGATTGCAAACTGCGGCTTCGTATTGAACGGTGTTTCCAAGAGTAGAACATGAGTAATGCGTACAATAGTGTCTGAATGATGGAGGCGGAGTGATGATTTAAGAAATGATCGTCGACCCTATTACTCAACCATCATATAAATACTGTAGCCTGTAGAGCACAAACGTCGGAATGGACGTTGGACATAGCCTTTAGTCTTTACTATCTAGAATCTAAATAAAATCTACAATTAGACTGCGTGAACCTCGGCCTTTGGTTATTGGTATACTCGCTCTACTCAAATATTGACCAGCCCCATATAGTAATAAATATAATAAACTCAAGCCAACCGCCTACTTGCGCATTTAGTAGAGAGAGACTCTCTACTAGTAGAGAGGTTGGGTTGGCCCGTGGCTTGGCCGGTCCGAAACTAAAATTTGAACGGCGGTTTCACTTTCGGCTCTCAGTTTCTGAGTTTCGGGTTTTGGCTTTCTCAATATAAAAAAATATATAATTTTTACTATGGAAATTCCCTTTCTATAAAAGGCGATTGCGCTAGGAATGTATTTCCAGTTCCGCCGCAGGAGCCACTTATTTTGCACACAAAAAAACTATTTTATAATACATATACTATTTTAGGCAATTTTGGACTTCTGGATATGCTACTCACTTGTTGGTTTAATGTTTTCTGTTAATTGTTGGTATGAAATTGGGGGAAAGAGGGCATAATTAGAGAGGAAATTATATATTCTTAGTATTTCCCTGACTTTTTGGCCTAGTAAACGACAACGACAGGAAAATGAATGAAAATAAATGAAATAGCCGAGAGGACCGTCACTTTGTTCTATAATATTTTGAGATGACCCTATTCAGCAACTTTCAGGAACATAACTGATGTCGCGAAAACTACAGACACGTCCGAAAATATGAAGAAAAAAATGTCAAGACATATTCTTATACTCTTATAAAGACCATGTCGTTTACCAGGTACGAGCCGATTTATTACGCTATCAAAGCAGAATTGTGCGAAACGCAGCCCCACAAACATAAATTCAAAGGTTTCCGGGTCCATTAGAGTCGGGAACGTTTTTAGCGGTCAACGAACATTATGCAGGGAACAACGGGTTCAACATGAGTTCAAGTTTTTGGCATTGATATATAAAGAGACAGACGTCGAGGCATTGAGGAATCTAGCTACAAAATCAACATATAGGGCCTAGAGACGAAACATGTTTTCTATACTCGGCGCTCGTCGGCTAGTACTAGCCCAGAGACTGCAGGTACGTGAGATGCACCAGATCACTAAAACAATCTCAATCTGGAACAGAACCCGCGCAGCCGCTAAATACAGTGCTGGTGTTTTTGGAGGAGTTGTGATTGCTTCGTACGTGACTGCAAATTTACTAGGAGATACACTTCCAAAAGAAGCCAGCGCCCGTCCATATCACTGGATTTCTCCCGAAGCGCACACTTTAATTGCAAGAAGCTACGAGCGCCACAATAAACTTGCAGATCCTACAAAGGAGAATCAGACCAAGCTCACTCCGGAGGAGATGAAGAGAAATAACATTCAGTTAGAATCTATGGCTACTGACCTTTTAGCACATTATGAACCGAAAGGCGTGCGAGACAGGGTCTCATATGTGCTTATGAGAAGCCTAGAGCAACTTATGCACTTGTTTTTCCGAGAGAAATACGATCATCACGCAGTAACGCTAGAAACTTTGGCGGCAGTGCCGGGTATTGTGGCTTCAGCTTTTCGCCACGCCCGTTCGTTAAGGCTAATGCAGGCAGACCATGGATGGATTAATCCACTACAAGAAGAGGCTGAGAATGAACGCATGCATCTGCTAATTTGGATGCAGGTTACCCAGCCCACATGGATTGAGCGTCAGTTCGTGACCTTCAGCCAAGGTGCTTATGCACTAAGCTATGGTATTTTGTATGGATTTTCGCCTGCCACGGCGCACAGATTCGTTGGTTACTTGGAAGAGGCGGCAGTTACTGCATATTCGGATTTCATTACTGCAATTGATGCTGGTGCAATTGAAAACAAGCCAGCACCAGTTATCGCTCGAGAGTACTACAACCTACCCAAAGAGGCTACTATCAGAGACGTAGCGCTCCGTGTCCGTGCAGATGAGTATATGCACAGAGATTTCAATCACGAGCTGGGAGATATGCATGAAAACGGCAACCAAAACAAATCACCAAACTTTATGAGTTCAGATTTCTCAAAACGAAGAGTGCCGGCCGGGCCTTGGGAGCGAACCCAAACAGGTACACTATTGCGCACGTGGACAGACGCCAGCAAGTGGGATGATGAGCCAGTGAATTTCCCACAACTACCACCGCCAGGCTCCTTCCCTAAAAAGTGAATCTGTTAATTATAAATTTCTATTTTCACATTTGCATTTGCATATGTGTATTTTATCAACAAAAAAAATAAGAATCAACACATCACGTTGCCCGTGACCACTTAACTTTATACTCGCATCGGAATTGCGGAGGTCTTGTTACAAGGAATCACAGTAAAACACTGAATTAACTATTCAAGGACCATGGCGTGCCCGTTGTTTCAACTTTATGGATTACAATATTAATCATCGTGTTTAACAGTAATATCTGTATTCTCAGTCTGATGTCTGATAGTAGTCGATGGCAACCTCATTGCGCGATTCCTACATTAATGCATGGAGTGAACTGGTTCAAGGGGAGCTCACATACCCCCCAGCACTCATATAAAAACAGGTACAGAGGCCAGGGCACAATAGAAGCTGATTGACTGTCTCTGTTGCTATTATACCAAGGCTTTCCTCGCGCCCCAGTGTATTCACTCACCACTGCTGGCTCTGTCCGTCTGTTATTAGTGAAACCAGACTCCCACATGTCATTCGGTGGCTGGCATTTATCTGTAGACAGGCAGCCACCGATTGAATTTGAGCCGTGCCCCTCACACCAAGATGTACGCCACAAAAGGCATGCATACCTCGATCGCAACCAGCACACTTGTGTACACTACCCTCTGGGTGCGTTGTAGTGCATCCTTTCGCACAACAGCGTTCACCACTGGAAGTGTCTCCCATCAGGATCGATTGTAGTACGTACTCTAGTGTATGTATTACAGATAAAGCTACCGTCAAGCTGAGGTGAAAGGTGAAATATTCACACATGAAAAACCCTAAAACCTCCAAGAGCAGGCTGCAGGACCGGCCTAAAAAGACCTGACTCATATATAGGTGGTTGGCCAAAATAGAAATTGGACATATAAAGAGGTAGACACCTTAAAGAGTTGGACATATAAAGAGGTATGACTGTCCTGTACATACACATAAATACATTTTATTTTTTGAAAATAAATATTTCTATAATGACCTCAGAAGTCCAGAGTGACTCTCAATCCGGTCCTCTTTTCTTAAAACAAATAGCCTTCTAGCTCAAAGCAAATATCTGTTACGAAAATATATAGGAAGTGTATGACCCTCAGTATGACCAAAATTTCACCAATAGAAATACACAGATTCTAGCACAGGTCCCATACTTATACTTTTTCAAATTTATTTCATTTATATGTACAATGGGGCGAATTTAGCCCATTTGCTGCTGTTGTTGTGGGTTTGGTTGCACTTGTGTAAGTTCTTTGTTGTTCTTTAGCGCTCGACATATAGCAGATACAGATAGTTGCATGCCATAAGCGGTTTCAATTTTATCAATAGCATCTTGAGCGCTGTGTCCTATCGATACGATCTTCTCCAATGCACCTTCGCCTCTGAGCTCAAACTTTGTCACTTGTTTGATGAGAGTGTTCAATTGCGGTGATTTCGTGGGGTTCCCTGTTTCCTCAACTAGATCCCATTCCATGTTATTGCGCGGCATATACCAAGATATTGCTTTCTTATCAAATAGTATACCATTGGATCTCTTTAGTGTGGGTCGATCGTCTGGACCAGGAACTTGTACTCCATACGAAAGTTCGATCTTGCTAAATGGCCAAGAGTATTTCTCGGAGTTCTGCATTATCGTCCTTTAAATTAGGATGTTGTTCAAAATCATAGTTGGGTCTGAACCATTGCAAGAACTTACACGTGATGGCGTTGTATACAACTAGGTTCTCGGCACTAGGCATGATTATAGTAAGCTGCATACTGATTTAGCGTGTTTTTGTGCACTACAATACTATATTTTCTCGTGTTGTTCTCTGTGTTCATAATGTACGACCCAGTAGGTAGTGCAAATTCCTTAGGCGGGGCATCCAGTCAATTTTATAGGCTGAGTTTACGATATCCAATTGAAACTTGCCCTGAACCCAGAAACATCGCGGGTCACACAAAGTCATATAATACGTGCTGAGATTATGACCCTGCGTTTGACAAATTTTCACAGAACTGGTAATAATAACCACCGTATCGATGAGAATACTCCGATTTTGGGATGGCAAAGTTCATAATTTTGTTCCCAAACATAAATGGGGGCCAATGGAATGGTCAATAGAATATTTGAATCACCAATGAAGATTGTAGGCTGTATTATATATCACAGAGGAGTATGTCCCCGGTCGTACGACCGAAACATTACATATGTAATACATCACTATCATTCCTATAACTCTTATTCATAACACATGTCTACTTATTTAGACAGGTATCCCACCAACACACATACATTTATATACCACACCGGCTTAGCAACACCTCCCGTCAATACCCAATATAAATCATATTTGTAATCTACATCCTCTATATACTAGAACTTCATCTACCTTCTCCTGTCCAATACACTATTCTACCATATCATACATATTATGCCTAACACCAATCAATATTCCATTTCATATATTTACTTCTACCCCTAGACGATTTATACATAGCCTAGTCCACTAAAGAATAAGCATACAACACATATATCAGTATTCCACTAACACATCTATGAAACTTCTAATCGATTAGTTTCCTTCCTCTACATCCTCCTACGCAGGTGACTTCCTTTTAACTGAACGACCTAGCTTATCTTCCTCTAGTAGATTAATCACCCTACATAATAATTAAACTATTCTCCCTATAAGCCCGTAGGAGTATACCCAAGCTATGTAAGATCCATCCCTTGTTTACAAGAAGACTTCTATCCTAAATGAAACTAATTAAATTTAAAATCCATCTACCTCATAGACTTTGGTTCCTTAAATAGGGATTACTACACTGCTCTTAGGCTAGCCAGTACCAAGAAGATAAACTATAGCTCCTCAATCCTTGGGAGAAGGTAGACAATAGTAAAGGGAGGAATATTTGAGATTAGATTAGGGTGACCGAATACCCGTTATAAAGTGAGACAGATATTAAAGTGAGACAGATATCCGAACTAAGGGATTAAATATATTATGATTTTTTATCATATTTGGTTTGTTTTCTTTGTTTTTTTAACAAAACAAGCAAAAAAATATATGAGAAAAGCTGTCGGCCTCACCGGCTCACTTTCCGTCTATTTGCGTATTTGTTTTTTAAAAACAAAATACCACATTCTGTCGCGACCGCGTATGTATTATGTATCTGTTGTATTTTTATTTTTATTTGTTTTTAGATACAAAAATATATAAAAACAATAACCCAGCTCGTTAACTAATACAGCTCAAACCGTTTTCCGTTAAAACTTTTATAAATCAAATAAATATACATTTACGTTAAACCTTTATTCCTATTTACGGTCCGCTGTATATTAGATGCATTTTATAGGTCTAATCGTTTGATCCTATTATAAACGTTTCAACGTTTTATATATGCGTTTACGTTCAACTTCTATTCGGTACCCTGAAAATAGGCACATACATGTTTAAAAATACTAAATAGGTATCCGACCGATCGGACAGTCGGACACGATCATTATTGCTTTTTAAAAATACAAAACAAATAATATTATCAAAAAGAGATTTCGCTCTTATCTTCTATTTTGTTTTTAAAAAATAAAACAATAAAGGTGTATTTCACTGTTGTATGGCCTATAAAAGATAGCCCAGACTTCACAGATTATATAAGCATGAAAGTTGTGGGAATAAAATGTATATAAATGTTAGTTCAACCGAGCAATCGGAGGGTTTGGAGCTATACATATTTTTATCCCTTCCAAGGTCTACATCCTCCAGACAAAACTTTTGAACACTTCGCTATCAAAGCAGACTATCTTCCAGGCTTTCGGATCCAACACCATCTATATCCATTACAGCGGTCAACAATTTTATGCAGGGTCATTTTCGGATTTGAACTATAACATCTATCAGTTTACAGAATTCACATATAAATAGACAAACATTGAAACGGTGAGCAGTATAATCCACAAGACGAAATAGCACACCTAAACTAAATATGTTTTCAACACTTGGCGCACGTCGGCTAGTACTAGCCCAGAGACCACAGATTCGTGAAAAGCACCAAATCGCCACCAAAACTACCTCAGTAATGATCAGAACCCGCGCAGGCGCTAAGTATACAGCCGGTGTTTTTGGAGGAGTCCTGATTGCATCCTACGTGACTGCAAATTTGCTAGGAGATCCACTTCCGAAAGAAGCCAGCGCCCGACCCTACCACTGGATATCTCCCGAGGCACAAACTTTGATCGCAAGAAGCTACGAGCGCCACAATAAACTCGCAGATCCTACAAAGGAGAATCAGACCAAGCTCACTCCGGAGGAAATGAAGAGGAACAACATACAGTTAGAGTCCATGGCTACTGACCTCGAAGCACATTACGACCCGAAAGGTATACGAGACAGAGTCTCATATGGGCTTATGAAAGGTCTAGAGCAACTTATGCACTTATTCTTCCGAGAGAAGTATGATCATCACGCAGTAACGCTAGAAACTTTGGCGGCAGTACCGGGTATTGTGGCTTCAGCTTTCCGCCACGCCCGTTCATTACGACAAATGCAGGCCGATCACGGATGGATCAACCCACTGCAAGAAGAGGCCGAGAATGAACGCATGCACTTGCTAATTTGGATGCAGGTTACCCAGCCCACATGGATTGAGCGTCAGTTCGTGACCTTCAGCCAAGGTGCTTATGCACTAAGCTATGGTATTTTGTATGGGTTTTCACCTGCCACGGCGCACAGATTCGTTGGCTATTTGGAAGAGGCGGCTGTCACTGCATATACGGATTTCATTACTGCAATTGATGCTGGTGCAATTGAAAACAAGCCTGCCCCAGTTGTCGCTCGCGAATACTACAACCTACCAAAAGAAGCTACTATCAGGGACGTAGCGCTCCGTGTCCGTGCCGATGAGTATATGCACAGAGATTTCAATCATGAGCTAGGAGATATGCATGAAAACGGCAACCAAAACAAATCACCAAACTTCATGAGCTCAGATGTATCAAAGCGAAGAGTCCCGGCCGGGCCTTGGGAGCGAACCGAAACAGGCACGCTAGTTCGCACGTGGACAGACGTCAGCAAGTGGGATGACGAGCCAGTGAATTCGCCGCTACTACCACAGCCAGGCTCCTTCACTGGACTGTAAATCTATACGTTTTAGCCAAGTAATAGATATCAATTCAACACTGTATTGTACATATTTATTATATCATAAAACATCGAAATCGATGCAGTAGTTTTTATGAAAACAAACAATCAAACGTTATTGCAAATGGTAGGTGAGCAGATCGTTCCGCTGCATATCAACTAGGAGCGAGCTGAAATAGGCACGCTAGTTCGCTTGTGGACAGACAGTCAGAAAGTGGGAAGATGAGCCTGTGAATTCGCCACTACGACCACAGCCAGGCTTCTTCACTACACAATAAATCCGTCTTAAAACCCCACTACACAGACGTCTTTATACTGTTTGTATTATATATACAGGACAGCCCCAACTTTCAAACTTGTAACTCAGTATCATATCTGAATCTCAAGCATCATATCTGAATCTTCTACTTGATACGAAAATGTAGGTACACTATATGTCAAGAGACACATCACGCGCACAGCAACAAAGAAGTAGAATACGCATTTCGGTGATGAACACAGACCACAAGTGGGAGATTATATCATGTCTTCATTGTCTATTTTAAATTGCATGAACTGACTACTTGTCTACCAACATGTGCCAACTTGCTCGTATTGAAATTGTACTTCAGCTACGCAAGAAAATGACGCCCAAAAGTTCAAAAACCACACATCACTTCATTTGCTGTCACATATTTAATGATTTTGTTGACCGATATATTTTTATTCGTGAGATCATTGACCGGTATGTTTGCATAGGTGGAATTGAGATATGGCCTCCAAAACAAAGCAAGATTGCTATTTAATTTAGAAGTATGGTACGACAAACTCGAACACAGTTAAGTCCTACGGACTTGTCCGTTCTCCCATATATTTTACACTTCTCTAGCTAAAGGGTCATGATACAGTCCATTTTTCCACATTTTCAAAACCGAAACTACCCACCGACCACCGTCCCACCCTCGAAATAAATATTTACATGAGGTTTGAGTATTGCTGGAGTTTTGGCTGGTTTGACTGTAAAAATACAATGATATGGTGCACTCGCGTATAGATAGGGTTCAAAATCACCCCTACTTTGAGCAAGTATGGCACCATCAACCACTGGTCCGATTGATGGGTTAGATAGCGGAAATTGCTTAGAATGACCAGGACTTAAAAATCACCCGGACAGGTTTTAGATTTTGTGTCTCAAAAAAAAAAGGTAGTTTGCTCAAAATTCGAATTTGGCACTTTTGAGGGCAGAAATCGACGTGCCGCCTCATCAAGAAAGCCGAGGCAACTACGGAAGGCTCGGAATTTCAAAAAGCTCAATATTTCATGTAGAAAAATAACTTTTTACAGGTCATTTTGGGGTCATTTCTCATGTACAGGGTGAAAACGTATTACGTTTTGATATCGTACCAACATTTGGAAGTATAAACATATACGTATTGGAGCCCGACACCTACGTCACATTTTGGTCGGCACACATAGGGACTCTAATAGTGAATAGTGACTGTCAAATTGTGGCCGTTTTTTTTATGACGGCTATGGCTTCCTTTAGGTTCTCCCGATCCGCACTGTATATTCGTTTTTCCAATTTCCAAATATTTCGGGTAGAAATGCCAATTATTTCGAACCCTAGCAATACGCGAGTGCACCAAAGTGACCAAACTGATACATACAGCAACAAAAATATCAAAACATGATAAAAGAGAACAAGCAGAGTGGAGGAGTACATTTTGTTAAAACCAAGCCAATTAAAGAACATTGAAAAGGAATATTTATCTCGCAAAACAAGCAGCAAGAGGAGACTCAGAGTCAGAGCCTTCAGCCAACGCTATTTTAAAACAATACATAACGAAATCCTACACGTTAAAAAAATGTATATTCGTATGAAATGCGTACCCCTTTTAAAAAGTACAAAACCCTAAAACTCTACGTACCAGGTACAAACTGACGAGAACGTTAAAAGCCAAACGTTAATATGCTCGAAAACATGCGTTTTAACTTATTAGGACCAAACGGCAAACGGTATGAGACCCGGTAGTGAGTTGTCTGGAGGTGCAAGTTATGACACATGACGTCAAGCTCATTAAACTGAATAAACGTGTCTACTTGAGAAGTATCTATATACTAAATATAGTAGTAGCGTTTTGGCGGGCTCATCATTTCTAAAAGCATACTGACAGCCTGGCAGTCTGGCAGTCTGGCTCCAGAGATCTAATGAGACAGCGGCTGCTGACCCTATCATTCTATAAGCCACGTACAATTTTTAAATTCATACACGAGAGCAGACATAAAATATTGTCATGATGTTTTATTGTCGTCATGTCGTCATGTTCAGAGTTTATCTCTTGGATCCCTTCTTGGGATATCTATTTGCATACAGCCGACATATCCAACTAAAAGCAAACAGCAAAACAACCGGTAGGGCCGTGTCGTGATAAAGTAGAAGTCATGCACTAAGCACTGCACGCGATTTATATCTTTTAAATCTATATAGGTGGTATTGTATATATTTAACTACAGTAAACGCCCCATACGGGTTATACCTTCTTTTGTTCAACAGATATAGCAAAGAACTACCAACATTACTACACACATGCAAATAATGTTTCACGGTGCAATGAAGTGTGTATTTGCAACATATGCTGGTCTGGTTGGAAGTACGAGATCTTCTATAACCCCACTTCACAATAGCGCAAACAGAAGATTATACTCAACAAAGAACAGAATAGTACACCTTGATGCAAGAAATTGCGTACCTGGATATACGTCCACGAGCAGGGTGAATAAAAGGCTATACTCAACTAATGATAGAAAAGTACGCCTAAATAAGGGAGATTGTGTGCCTGGGTTCGTGCTGGATATTGATGGGGTGCTGATAAGGGGTGACACGGTCATACCCGAGGCCCGAGAGGCGATGGATATACTCACGAATACTACATTGGTTGCAGAGGATGGATCTGAGAGCAAAGGTATGCGGCGTTTGTGCACGTCAATCGTATGTGTGAAGGTTTTGTTATACGTATGTACATGTTCAAGAACATTCATAAAATCAATGGAGTGCTGATAAGTGGATATATATATATGTGTGTGTGTGTATGTATGTATGTATGTATGTATGTATGTATGTATGTATGTATGTATGTATGTATGTATGTATGTATGTATGTATGTGTGTGTGTGTGTATGTATGTATGTATATATATATATATATATATATATATAGTATATATATATATATATATATATATATATATATATATATATATATAGTAGTATAGTATAGTAGTTAGTAGT